AGTAAGGGTCAGCACGCAGGCCAGCCTGGACCAGGCCCACTTCTCCGAGTGTGCACAGTACCTGCCGAGGTGCCAAAGTGGAAGGGGTGGTCCAGAGGCCCACAGCCTGGTCCCCGGGCTCTGCTGAGCACGTGCTACTGCGTGGGGCTGTGCGGCCTCAGCAGGGCTGCCTCCTGAAGTTACTGTGGATGAATGAAGGGGTCTGCTAGCTGGGTGAGTGGAATGTCAAGCGTAGGAAAGCTGCCTCCAGGGGGAGACTTAATGTGGGGCCAGTGGGAAGTCAAAGCAAAGATAACGATCACTTGGATCATTTTATTTAGCCAAAAAGAAAATGAATCTGGGGAATGAACCCTTTGTACCAAAGCCCTCGAATAGATGTTTTCCAAGCTTGGGTTTCAGGTGTCAGAGCCTTGGGGCCTCTGGTTTGCTCTGGTTCAGAAAACACTCAGCTTCCACCCCGATGGAGTCCCAGGCCATTGCAGAGTGGAGGTGGGCTCTCCCGTGGGTCAGCATGGTCCTCAAAGGCAACAGCAAGCCAGAGCAGAGGACTGGCTCTGTGCTAAGCAGCTTGCGTATGTGATCACACGTGATCTACATCATGTCCTCTGGACACAGACGCAAACATCGGCCATTCATCCAAGGTAACCTGCACCTGTAAGTGGTTGAGCTGGACTCCAGCAGACACCTTTTTTAAAGGCCAACCTGTGCTCTTGGCAAATTTGTTATCTCTAGCCAGAGGCAGATTTAGAAGTTCTTCCAAATGCACACGGTTGAATTGAGAAGTTGAATTAAACAGCTGAATTGAGAAGTTGGGGAATTCATCTAAGGCCCCATGAAGAGCTTTCCAGGAGAAGTGAAAACACCTAGACTCCCTGACAAGGCGAGGCATGCTCCTCCCCCACCCCCCGCCTGTGTTGGGCTGCAAGACTGCTGGTCTCATTTTCTTCTGCAAACAGAAGTAGCTGTGCAAGCTGATGCTGAGGACAGAGAAAAGGGCTTGATGACTAGCCCTCACCTGGGTCTGGACCTGGCCCAGGACGAGCCACCTCCCACTGTTCACAGAGCTTTCACTGTCACAACCTGAAAGCAAAAGGCTCTAGAACTTGACCCAACTGGTTAATCTTTCTGGGAGGAGAAATTCTGAATGCATAAGAGAAATGATGCCCAAGTCCCTGGAATGTCAAGATATGAAACACGTCTTCAGATCTGGTAAACTTTTCAGTGATGTTTTGAACTGCCCCCTCGATCAGGGCATGGCACTGAGCAAAACAACCTTACTCAACGTCAGAAGGATCCTTTTAAAGGAAAGTCATATGTCTCTGAAGGCAAACATCATATATTAATATTATCAACTCAAATAGATACTGACTTTTTAAATGACAGGATTCATGTGAATCACTTCAAAAATCATTCGTTCACTCAATAAATCCCAAACTTGAGCTAGTTACTAAGCTAGGCACTGGGATACAAAGGTTAGTGGGCTGCATGCAGACATATCCCTCAAGGAGATGTATTAAGGGGCTTAAAAACATAGTTTGCTTTTTTCAGAAACAAATACACTATGTGAAATAAAGAAAAATGCATCCATTAAAAACTAAGCAGAAAAAAAGAGGCAAGGCAAGGAAAGCGAGTCCTCATGGGGCTGAAGCTTGTCCTGTGAGCTGAGTCAGGCTGGCAGGACACTAAGCTGTCACCTTCCCAGACTTGGAGCCCAAACTGTCATCTGCAGTCCCACAGCCATGAAGAAGCCCTTCTGTAGGGATAGAGCACCATCTACTGGTGACACAGCCTTAGCACATGCCACAAATGAGGGAAGGAGGGTGCCTTCCCTCCTCCAGAGAAATCAGGTTGAACTCACATTTTTTTAAGTACACTGCCAAATGCTAGGATTAATCCCATGTTATCTCATGATACTCACCCTGTGAGGTGAGTATTGTTCTCACCTTTATTTACCCTCAACTCCTCGTTGGCCACCTGGGGCTCTGATGAGTAAATCTTCTGCTGTTTCTGAGGTTTGAAGTGAGCACAAGGCAGGGCTCTTGTCTATTTAATGTAAGAGGAGCTTTAACATAAGATGGCCATTTTCTCAGGGGTCTCTGGTGCTGGGTCCCTGTCACTGGGGACTGGAACAGCCCTCCTGAGGCTACATTTCAAGGAAGTGGCTTGCTACAGTCCAAGAGGAGAGAAGAAGAAAAGTAAAAATGGAGTATGAAACTTTGTGTGTTCTGTAAGAGTGGTCATTGTGAATAACCATGCTCTTTAAAAAATAAATAAATAAATAATAACTTAGCTGCCTGAGGGAAGAAAGAGGAGCCTCCCTTATTGAGTGCCTACGGCATCCCGGCATTATTGCATCTTCACGATGACCCTGTGATGTGGACATTTTGGGCTCCATTTTACAAATGAGTAAACTGAGGTTCAATGTCACATGGCTAGAATGTTCCTTCCCAGCCTCTCCTTGCCTTCATTCCTGTTGGATTTTGTATGCCCTCTGACCTCTGACTCTGAAAAAGTGGTAGTAACTCAGGACTTGGGGCCAGTGACCCCAGAGAGCCATGTTCCCAGAGCTCTCCAGGAGCTGGGCACACAGCTTGCTCCTCCTCAAAGCCAGGCAGAACTGGCCCATTTTCACCTACCCATAACCCATGAAACATTTCCTCCTGTTTTCCATTATGAATATAAATACATACATTTCATTGGGGAAACATCAGATTGAGAATCCTGGAGGCCAAAATCATTTCTCTAACCCAGCATGACACCAGCAGGAAGAGTGCTGTTTACCATTAGCTGCTAACTGCCCTGCCCCGGGCCCCAACTAGAATCTGGAAGGTTCTCTTTGGTGACTGAGTTCTCACAAAATGTAAAAGGAGGAAAAAAGAAAAAACAGAGCTAGAGAAAGGACAGGCATTTTAGCCCTTCTGATACTGTGCTTTTCTTTCCCCATTTTTTTCCTGAGATTTTGAATGCTGAGGACAGGGCTTATCCCGTATGCTCTACCTGCTCAGGCTGGACCTGTGGACAACCCAAACTGCTGGACTCCCTGACCTCACCTGTCTTAGCATTGGAGAACTGAATCCTCACTCCTCCTTCACCAACATCTGCTATGCACACTTTCTACTTGGTCATGACAAACATCTGCCTTGGGCTTCTGGGAATTACTGATGTTTACCACTCAGACCTTCAGCGTGACTTCACCCTGGCCCTTGCCCAGTCTATCCTGTCCCGGGTCTTTACTTGTCCCCCATGCTCTAGAACAAAAGATGGGGAAGCTATATTTGGGTGGGAAGGTGGCTTGCCCCTGATCCCCAGTACTCGGCTGTGGGGAAGCGTTGAAGGGAGTCAGTGGGGTGGAGGAATCAGTGGGGTGGAGGTGTGTAGGGCACAAGGCACCTCTGAGTTGCCACAGTGATACGTGGGGGAGTGAGAGTAACACAGGAGTGACGTAGGAGGGCAGTTCAGACCAAGAAGCCAGAAACAAGGCCCTGTCAGACTTAATTAATTTGGATATAGATCCCATCTGCATCAAGCAAAACCATCACACTGTAGTCCAAGTGTCATGAACGGACTAATGGTACCACCTTCTCACCGCTCCAAAAATTTCCAAACTTGCCTTCATGGACCAAAATAGTAATTATTTAATTAAAACGACTATTTACAATGACAGAATCTAAAAATAACGATACTGATAAAAAAAGAACATAAAAAAATCTTTTAAAGACTATACATACATGATTATCATTTATGAAATCAGTAATACTTCATATATCTGATGCTTTATGGCAAACCATTTTATATTTTATCATTTGGAATAATGAAGATCTCTCTAAGTAAAGTAGCTTTCTACTTCCTTAAGCTTTGAAAGTGCTCCCTCCTTCTCCTATAGCACCCATCTATGAGGCTGTGAAATTTCCTTGAGTTCCGCCAATAAGCACACTTTTATTCCATCATTCAGCCTTCTCCTTTAGTCTGCTAAGGACTTGGAAACCAGATAGCCATGTTTGTTAGAATAGTTTGTAAATTAAGAAAGATAGACTTTTAATGAATGGCTCTGAGGTGCTAAGCTATGAATAAAAAGCATGGGCTTTGGGAAATGGTCTTTGTTCTGGTTTTGCACTTGGGTTCTGGATTGGTAGGGATGCAATGAAAGTGGAGTTCAAAAAAATCAGATATACCAACCACCACTGATCAACTCTAAGATGCAGCATGGATTTGCTGTTCTTCTTCGAAGTAGGTACACAGAGGGTTTCTGGAATGATTTGAAATGGATCTGATAGTCCATTGATCAAGTAAACAGACTGACCTGTCACATACAGGAGGCCTTTGAGATTGGGTGTTTTAAATCCACAGGTTCATCCTCACCCCAATCTGATCATCTGGAGATATTGTCAGCAGAAGACCACCCAGTGACTTCAGACGCCAGAGCCACCCCATCCCACCCGGACCCAGCCAATTCTGTTATTTTCTGTGTTCTTGAAAGCTCAGCATGTCTCCTCCACACCATACCAAACAGTTGAAACTTAGCCTGTGCCTCCGCCAATTTACAGATGATAGTACAGTAGTCTGTGGAATAGCATTTCCTCTTGAGGCCTTAAAACCTAGGCTATTACCCCAAATGTAATGACACTTGGTATGTTTAAGGTCATTTAAATTGACCATCCATGGAGGTAGTATTGTATAGAGGTTAAGACACCAACTCCAAAGTCATATTGCTTAGACCATGTCGACTAACATCTCTGCTTGTGACAAGGTTGTAGCCATAAGGAAGAAGAGCTGGTCTTTATAAGTCCAAGGCAATCTTTGCTACTTCCCTTCCCTTTTTGCATGCTGTCCATCCAAAGGGGAGAGCTATAGGAAAGAAATCTCCCCAGCTGAGGAGACGATGACTGGAGACATGGTCCCGAAGAACAGTAAGTGAGCTGAGCATCCGTCGATCTCAGCCAGTAGCTACCTTTGGGCCATATACAGAGTCCTCAGTGAGGGCAGATGGAGCTCCAGCCTTCTCAGGAGTACAGGGTCATCATCAGCCACTAGACGGAAAGCAAATTACGGTCATTTCAGCCTCACCTCTGACATTTGGTCTAGGGTGCTTCATTTCTCAGTCACCAGGTCCCAGAGTGAGACGCGGGATTTGGGGCCTCCTCCCACTCACTCCTGAGAAGCCACGGAGACAGGACATTAATGGATGGTTTAGCCAGGGGGACCACACCATCTGGTAATAAGTATAAATCAACCTGAAATATAATCAACTTTGACTTCCCATGGTGCCTGTGAATGATGATAGCCAAGGTTCAGGCTGATTCTATATTCAATTCTCAATGCCTTTTTTTCCCCATGAATTCAATTTGGCATGCTTGTGACAGCTGTGCGCAGGTGTGTGGACCAAGCAGGTAACAGAAATCTATTAAAGCATATTCTACATGTTTACATTTATGGGCCCATTTGTATTACAGCTTTATGTGGGAGTGATGAACTCTCTAACTCACATAGGGGGGACTTCTGAGAAACCACTCCCCAGGCCAATTACATCCACACAGTAACACTGACTCTGGTGACAATGAAGATGATAATGGTAAAGTAAGTTACCAATGATCTCAGAGAAAACCCTGGAGAGAAGCTCCAACAAGTTGGCTGCCACTCCCTGTAGACTTCCTTTGATGACCATGAGGATCTCCTCCCCACAGAACCAGAGACAGTCAGAGCTGGAGAGGGTCTTCAGGACCACCTCGCCCAGCCCCCTCATTTCGCACACAGGGAAGCTGAGGCCCAGAGATTTAATGTGATTTGCCAGTTACAAGGAGAGCTGTAGGTTCGACCCAGATCTCAGTCCAGTGTCTTCCCATGATATCACCTTGCATTGCTAGAGCCTGCTCAGGCTGAGGGCTGTGTCCTGCTCTCCCAGCTCTGAGCCTGCACTATGGAAGGATTGCTTGGGATCTGGAGGTGAGCTTGGGGATCTGAGACAGGGATGGGCTCAGAGGAGTCTAACCATTGCCCCTCCATCGAAATCTCACCTTCACAGTTGAATGTGGAAGTAATGAGGGGGGACATATGCTGAGGGCCCCTATATATTAGAAAAATATCTCAAAAATGGATATTCGAGTTGAGGAAGAAACCCCAGCTTTTACTGGCCCTTTCTAAGCAGCACAAACAGAGGTCATATTTTAGAAAGAAAGATGATTTAACTGCAGACTCCAATGGCTTTGCAGCAAACGCCACCTAGCGCCACGTGTGGCACATAACGGGTGCTCAGTAAATCTACATAGTTTGAATGATGAGGAAAGACAATCTGGTGTCAGTCACAGATTTGTCTTCTCAGCTGATCACTTCATTCACTCGACAAACATTTGTTAAGCACCTACAATGTGCAAAGCCCTGCATAAGATTCGAGAAGAGGGCACAGAGACTAGATTAGAATCCTTTCCCCTATGTGGAAGGCTAAGCCAGCTCGAAATGAGGTTTATTCCTGGCCTATACATTCTGCCTGATCTGACCCTGATCTCTTCGGATTTACCCTGAGCCAGTTTCCTCATTCTCTATACTCTAGCCAGGATTGTGCATGCCACTCCCTCTAGCCTGGGCTTTTCTTACTCTTTACTCTACCTGCCTGGCTGCTTCAGTTTCAATGTCACTTCCTCCAGAAAGGTCTATGTGGAACACGCAACCTGGACCAGCTTCCCTCTGTCTGCTCGAGCTTATTGCTGGCTCAGGTCTTAACCCTTCCTCTCTGTGTCTATGCCCTCTGCAAGTAACGTCGAAGTTCCTCTCATGGCCGAGGAGGAGGCTGGTTCCCTATATATTGGAAGGTTTGGCCATGTGACTTGCTTTGGACAACAGAATGAGTTGCAAGGCACATTGTCCATGAGCTCCAAGAACTTGCATGTTTAAGCTCTCTCTCCTGTGCTGCTGCCACTGTCTGGAAAAGGGCAAGCCTGGCCGAGCTTCCTCAATGAAGGTACCAGCAAAACCCCAGCTGATCCACAGATAACAAGCCAGCCAGCCGAGACCCGCTGACTCCCAATCGCGTGACTGGAGAACTAAATAAGTCATCACCACTGAAGTTACATAGATGTGTCACGTGGCATTATCGAGGTCACAGCTATCGGGCACGCTGAGTCAGTCTCTCAGTCCTTTCATATGTGCCTAACACAGAGTTGGTGCTCAGTAAATCTCTAATTGATGAATGAATGAATGAATGAATGAGTGTAATGAAGGCAGTATTACATCCCAAACTCGGTAGAATGAAGGCCCCCCAAAACCTTCTCCTTCACAAGATACTAGACCTACAGTGGCCCCCTCTACCTAAGATGATGTGTCAACCCCATGGAAAAAGTCTTACCTCTGGCTTCTGGAGGTATATTCCTTTGCCATCTTGGGTTAAGTTTTGGAAGACATCTGTGAAAATGCAGCAGAAAGGAACACAGCTAATGTCCGTGTGTATGTGTGTGTGCTAGAAACATTATAAATTAGTTCTTCACATATGTTCCCTCACCTGGGAACCCAATTTCAGCCTAATGCAACCATATGGGGCCACACTTATTATAAGCGAGCCAGCTTAAACCTTTGCCTCTGGAACGGGCGGAATATAAATTAGTTTGGGAGATGCAGCCAGGTTTCACAGGCACGTAGCCAGTGTTCCCTATAGCTCCCTGGCCTGTTTCTGCACTGGCTGCTGTCCCCGCTGCTCCAACCGAGGACAGGTGGGCAATCCACAGGGAGTGCAGAGGAAGCCCTGGCCCTCCCTCCTTCCCACCGGCTCACTCTCCATCTTCTCCGCACGCAGCATCAAGTGGACAAAGCTGACGAAGTCCATCTGGAGGTTGGGGCCACCGTAGCGGATAAGCATCAGCTGACAGACATCACCACTGAGCACGATTCCTGCAGTGAAGACAGGCTCCTTTGCGGGTGATGACTTTATACCCAGCTCCCCTCCCCCTGAGGCCTCTTAAATTGTCCCTCCTTTCTGGGACCTAAATCCTGATAGCATGGACATCATTGTGAATTGTTTAATTATTTAGTCCATTAATTTTATTTTATCTCCACTCCCATTCCTGCCCCCTTAGGCAACAAGCATGAGGATCTTTTTCTCAAATGGGTTGCAGGCCTTTGAGGCAGGAGACAGCCTGGCAGGGGTCAAGAGCATCTGCTTTGGAGCCTGGTGGTCCTGGATTTAAAGCCTAGGCAGGTTACCTAACATTTCTGAGCTTCAATTTCTTCCTCTGTGAAGTGGGGATTATAACAGGGTAATGTTGAAGATTGAATGAGAGTGTGGATATGCCAACCCTCAATAATCGTGAGCAATGATCATAGTGATAATAATAATATACGTTTCTGTTATTTGCAGATCTATCTGTTTGGGTCTCTGAACTTGGGGTATAACAGCACAGTAGAATGTCATGCACCCTTTTCCCCTCCCTGTCTTTTCGCCTCATGCCACACCAGCTTCCCTCATGCCTACCTGCATCCCTCATGGCAGCCTGCAGCTGGGCCCAGTTCAGGCATCCTGATCCGTGACTGTCTTGCTTATGGAAAATCTCCTGTGAAGAACCCACACTGAAAGCTAAGGGAGCCAGGCATTTCCAAGCACCTCCTGAGGGCCCCTCCATGCCCCAGTGTCAATATTGCAGAGGACAACTGGAGTGTAGGCCCTGCCTCCAGGGCCTGCTGCCAGGATAAGAACATGGCAGAAGGTCCATGCCAGGATCCGACCACCTCTCCCACTTCTTCTTAAGGCTTCTGAGAAAGGGAGTGTTTGGTTGCAGGGGGAAGACAGTCTGGGGAGATTTAAATGTGCTTAATCTAAGCACATCATCCAACCTTTGAAGAGCTTCCAACTTTATGACTCAGGAGACAAGGAGAAGAGTTTTGAGTAATAATTGCAAAAGTAGGAAGGAGCCAATTTATGAAGGACTTTAAATGCCATGCTAAGGAGTGTGGACTTCCACTGAAGGCCCTGGGGAGTCTCACAAGGCTTTTAGTAAGGAAGTGACATGATGAGATGTGAGCTTCAGAGATTCAAGAGACTGTTGCAATAGGCTTTCTGGGTTTGTGAAGGAAAGAAGGAGGCCTCACTGGAGGAAGATTAGAGAAGGTTGAGTCAGTGATTGTGTATAAAGGGCCGTAAGGAAGAGAAGTAGGTTACATACTTTGCAGAATTGCCATCCTGCGAGGAGGTGTGGTCAAGACTTGTTCTTACCTGGTAGAGCATCAGCTGTTTCCATAGGTCCCTGAATTCCTGGATGCTCACGGTACCCGACGCATTAAGCTGATAGCCTGGTTAAAGTCAAAGCTGGCCGGAGAGTTTCATCTATACCTCTGGAGGCAGCAACTGGCCCCCAAACATCACTGTGCAATTTTGGAGCAGCCCTGTTTAATGCCGGATGTCCCTAGTTAGCCCCCCTGGCTGGTCAGTCCAGCCTGGGGCTCCCTTGCCCTTGCCAGTAAAGGACAGAATGACCCAAACGCAGTAGCACAGGGAGAAGTGCTACCAGTGGTGGGGATGAGGGTGATGACAACAGCTACCATTTAAAAAAGCAAGATATTTTGACATGGCCAGTTTAATGTGATTTAAATTAAAAAACAATTTTTTTTCATTATTGTTAAAACCAGCTTATGGAAGGAATCAGGCACGGGTGGCTAAGAATGCCTCTTAAATTCTTTTTTTTTGAAAAGTTAAAAGCTTAATAGTTGGCCTTGTAAACCATGTCCCAATACCCTTGTATCAGAGAGGTCGGAATACCACCACACGCCACTTCTGTTTGAGCTCTTACAGTGATTTATTCACTTTACCTATGTTTTCAACTAGTAGATGAGGTAGATTAACTCCTCCCTGTTATGGATGATGAAATGAGGGTATGGAGAGTACGATCTTGCCCAAGTTCATACAGGTGGTGACGAGGCTGGGACCTGCTCCAATGTCTGTATACCCAACCCCCAACCACCACTGTCCATGCCTCTGCAAAGCTTCTACAAAGACTAGTTTTGGGAGTTTTTTTGTATTTACAACCCCCCACACTATCCATTCTATGTGCCTATCTGTAGTATAGATAACCAAACTTTAAACTGTCTACTTAACTTAGAAAGGCAGAGAGTTTGCTAGGAAAATCGCAGGGCTGAGAATCAGGAAAGCTGAATTCGTGGCATGTTGCTGAACTTCCTGAGCTCCGGTTTCCTGACCTGTACGTGGGGTTAGCCACTGCCTGGTCACCACATGGAAAACTTAGGACCCTGAAACTCTTGTTAAAGCTTCTTATAAACCTGGAGAATTGTTCCTGCCTATGACCCTACAGCTGCCTCATCCTTGCTGTCAGGAAAGAAGACTGTTGCTGTTAATAGCTAATATTGACTGTTTATTCTAGGAAAGTTCTGTCCTAGGCACTTTATATGGCCTACCCCTTTTGCATTCTTACACCGATCCTATTGACTAGGCTTGAATACCATCTCTGTGCTGCAGATGGCAACCTGGAGGGACTTATGAGGCTAAGCAACTTGCCCAAGATGATGCAACTAGTAAGCTCTGGGGTTGGGATTCGAACCCAGGCAGCCTGGCTTCAAGGCAAAGCGCTCAATCAACAGCATGCATCCTCCCACAAACCAAAAAGGATACATCCAATTGGGCCAGGATCCCCTGGCAGGCGTCAAGGCTGAAAAGGGGCTGTGCACGCCCCAGACCTGTAGAGGAACAGAAAGATTCTGCATGGGGGCTGGCCCAGGATGACACAGCATGGCCCTTTTCTGAACAGGACCAGACGGTGCTGTCTAGGCCAGCCGTGGGTTCCCATAACCATCATTTATGTGGAGAGGAAAGAACGAGAGCAGTGGAAAGAGAGCGAAGGCTTGCGGGTGATCTCTGCACTCAAGGAGCACAGCGAAACCCTGTGGAGAAACCCGACTGTAGTCTGGCTTTGCTTACACAGTGGGTCGGAAAAACCGTGGCCCTTCATACCTAGTGAGGGCCAGGATCATAGAGTTACAGACCCCCAACTCTGAGAGAGATATGAGAGATTAACTTGTCCAAGCTCCCACCTAAAATAAGGGATGCTTTCCTCAGATGTCTTGATGGTTGGTCAGTCAGTTATGCGTGCTCACTTTTTCACCTGGATAGATAGCTCCATTCAGGAGAAACTTCTTATGTTAATTCCAAAGAAACCTCCTGTAAAATTTACTCACTAGTCCTACTTCTGCCTCCAGAAAAGCATAAACAGGCATATGGCCCCTCCCAACGTTTCTCTAGCTCTTCTCCAGACGATATTGTTTCTAAATCCTCATCGCCTTCTTCCAGACCCTACACTTTGCCAGTATCTCTGTGGTACTGAGCCTGGAAAACACTCCTTCAGATGCAATTTGGTCAAGAAGGGTACAGTGGGTCTATTGCTTGCAAAATTTTCAGTGTGCATTTCGAAATTATGTTCCAAGGAAGATTTTCTGCAGAGATAGGGTTTTTAAGTTTAAACAAATTTGAAAGACTCTTTTCTTCATTCATCATGCACTTTAGTATACGATAGTGAGGAGCCGATACTGAAATTTTGTTTAACGCAGAATTTCCCGAATGCGGTTGACAGAAACTAGCTCTTACTATTTCATGAAACATTTACTAAAACCTCTAGGTTTCTAATGTTTCTTGGAACCCAATTTCAAAAACACAAATCCAAATGCTTCTATTAAATACTAGCTGAATCTAGATTAGCTTATTTAGCAGCAATTTAAAACTATTAACTCACATTAAGCTCGAGGGCAACTAAATTAACCAGATAACTTTCGCATCAACTGCCACAAAAATGAGGTCTCTTCTATTAGGAAATCACGCAACCAATTTTTTTTTCAATAACAAAATGGCAGTTTTAAGTGATCATCCTGAACTCCATGATTTGGGCAAAGCTTATAGTGAACTTTCTGAATCCCAGTTCTGCTGTCCATGATATTAATGATTCCTTCCAGCATTGTGCCTTCTGCACATCTGATAAGCCAACCTTCCAAGCCTTTTTCTGAATGACTGATAAAAGCTCAGGAAGTGAAAGGGAACCAGGGGCAGAATCCAAAGACTTTCATCTAAACATCTAGACTCTCATCTGCAACACAGAATCACCCCTCTGGCTTTATGTTCATATAACTCTAAGGAATGGCGATAAGACTTATGAGTACATCTCACATTGCTACTTTCCAACTCACATTTCATCACTTAACCATGGGAGACTTTACCCAATATTTCACCAAAACCCACAGTAATCCCCTGGTCTAGCAACCCAGAACCTCTTTCTAAGGACTAAATGAAAGCAATTTGTCCATTCTTTGGAAAACCATTCTGTATACTCATAATCAAGCCATTTAAAAAATATTAAGTGTGCATAAGCCACCTCTTCTAGATAATTTCCCTAGTTTTGTTTTTTGTTTTCTGTTTTTTGTTTTTCGGAGTGAGGCAGAAGGAGGATTCTTATATTCTATAATTTCTAGAGTCTCCTCTTCTGGCTCTTTTGCAATACCCAAACTTGGCTTGGAGAAACCATCTGGAAGTTATTCCAAGCCCTAAGTTATACAATAGCCTGGAATGTACCTTATTTGGGTTTGAAGTCTTGGCTTCATGCAAAGGAGAAGCAATCACATATTTTAGGTAGCAAAAACCCTTTAACTGGTCAGTTGTTTTTTCAATTTTCTGAAATACATTTTCCTCCCTGGAGAAACCATGTTCTTCTCACTCAAGATATGCATACAAAATATTTTTATATGGACTTGAAACTTTCCTAATCATTTATCCCAGGCTTCATCGAAAGACATCCACACCACTCATTTGCAGTCCTCCTAGGTGATATGCTTCCTCATTCCAGAGTTTCGTAGGTTGATCAATTTAAATATGCGTTCGTCAGAGAGGTCCCTAGTGGGCTAATCAACATCCTTTGCCAGGTTGAGGAAATGGGTACAGCTCTTCCACATGGAATTAATACACCAAGAAAAAAGTGCTTAGCTCTCCTTCTCAAACCAGCAAAATAGCAGAAATCTTTACTTTCACTGCCATGTCTCTACACACTCAAACTAAGCAAAAAAAAAAAAAAAAAAAAAAAGACACCGCACTCAGGCGACCAGCGCACAGTAATTCACATGTCCCACCAGGGGAAAGAGAAACAGATCCAGAGTTCAGAACAGTTGTGTCCCCTGAGTCCTACAGGATGACTCTGAAATACTCACTTGACCAGGTCATGTGGTTGAGGATCTTCTGCAGTTGAGCGGCATTTATTTCTGGATACTGGAGTAGAAGCAGAGTGATGGGAGAAAATCATCATTACTGGAGGCTCGTTATATGCAGAGGAGCCACAGCTAAGGGGGGCTGGAACGTCCTCTCCAACATCTGCTCAGCACAGCACATAGGCCATTTCTGGGCAGAAGAAGCGATACCATCATGTTGCACATAAGGAATGTCACTAGTCATGTAATTAAATCTGGAATTTCGTAAGAACTTTTACATTACTTTTTAACTGAGTGCCCAGTCCAGACCCCTCAGCAGGGCAGAACTCTTAAGAAGTAGACTATAAGAAAGCAGTGACTCTCATATTGAGATGCTTCAGACGTCACCGAGCAAACGATGTGGTTTAAATTTTATGCTTAATAACATATTCTCAGCCAAGACTTCAGATTTCGACTTTAAATTCATGAGAAACAACCCTTTACATTACTATTTAACTTTAAAACATATCTATGACATACAAGTATCACAAATTTGAACTTATTAAATGGATACATATTTATAATATACAATTTTTATCTCTTTCGTATATATTGTGATCTTCTACCAGATTTCAATTAAACTCTGCTGGACTATAGCAGAAAATGTTTGGAAACAGCCTTGTATGTAGAAAAACTTTTATAAACAACACCTGTAAGATTCTGATATGTTGTCTCTGGCTACATTAAGTACCTGGGGTGAATACCGGATGGCAGACAAATTGTGAATTAAATCCAGAGTGTTACTAACACAAGGAGCTCATGCTCTTCCAGTTTTAATGACATCGCTTAGGTGTCAGACCCCACATTTCCAGTGTATTTCTTCCCTTATTTCCAAACACATTTAGTGTCCTGCAGGTTAGGGACAGAGTGGCCTCCGAAGCCCTTTCCTCACCCCACTGGCCTCCTGATCTGGCTCAGCCCAAGGAAAGAACTCAAGGGGACCAAGTGTATAGCCTAGGGCCTTCCTCCTCTCCAAGGCCCTCTAACTAGCCCCACCCTCTCTCCAGGAGACCACCCAAGGGGTCTTTCTCCCTTAATGGCCTTCCCCAAACTCCCAGGGTTTGTAATTGCCGTGCCCACCTCCCCAACTCCCAATACTGATTCCCGGCTCTGCTATATTCCATTTTCTCAGGCAGTAAAGATTAAAATGGTTTCTCCTACGACTAATTAATGCACCTTCCAAGAACAGATATGTAATTTACAGGAGACTTCTGGAGACAATAGCTCCACTCCTTTGTCAAAAAACTTGAGGACTTGAATAGAAAGTGGCAGTTTGAGGAATAGGTAGCCTTAAATCACAGCGTACACACAGGGTCAGGTGTGTAAATTCCACACACTCCATAGAACTACATGTTCCACTTTGTCGCCTGCTCCACCCACCTCTGGCTACCACACCTGGTCAACTTGCCTTTTCAAAGAGTTTGGTGAAGAACTCATCCTGCCCTGCAGTTTGGTCTTCTATTTCCTATAAGGACAGACACATAGAGTGACTTAGTCATTCATCTGAATACGTGGACTCTCACGCACACACTTATGTCGCATGAACCCCAGGTCCCTGAAATGTGGAAATTTGACCTCGAACACTGTCTTAAATTTTCTACCACAGCATTCACATATCCCTTGTTTCTCCAATTCTCGTTTCCGTTACACAGGAACGGGCAAAAGAAACACCAGGGAGAGAGAGGCAGAAGAAAGTGAAGGTACAACTCACGCTTCTGGGGCTCGGAGCCCTCAATACAAGGACCCGATCAGAAGGGCAGTTGTCTTGGTGCAAAAACAAAAGAACCTGGGTTCTCTTAGGGCACAATTGATAATGTGGTATGTGTGCCCCGGAGTAGGGTCTGCGGGATCTGAGGACCTCCTCCCCCAATCCCTGAACGTGAGGGGAGAAGCCCATCATCCTGTCTTTCAACAGGCCCAGCCACGTGGAATTCTACCTGACTGCTTACCTTCGAGAAGGCAACACTGGAATGGCTGCCAATTTCACTGAGGGAGAACAAAGACAGAATTCCTTCTGAGGGATCATCCTGGGAACCCTGAGTTCCCACTCTCCCTCCCCTAGGAACTCTTCCAAGTTCCTTTACCGATGCACCACGTGGGCCTGCCCAGCTCCACGTCTCACCTCCCGCTTCCCCTTGAAGTGTACAGTCCAGCCACATGGCACAGCACACTGCTTGCAACTCCTCACACGCCCAGTGCTGTTTCCCATCTCCACGCCTTTGCTCACGCTAAGCCCTCTGCTCGGCATGCCCTTTACTCTCCCCCGCCGTCATCTAAATATTCCTACTCATACTTTAAGATGCAGCAGTCTGACAGGGCAGTGAGGCCTGAGGTCAAGTCAATCTATCTAGGGCCAAAACGTGAAGAAAGAAAATGACAACTGGATTCCAAGCATTGAAGGGCTATCACGTCAAAACGATTGTAGGCAAAAGAATAAGTTTGGCTGAGATGTGTAGATATTGATTCACCTGCATACACTAGCAGTGCCTGAGCCTGCTGGTTGATGACAGGAGCCCCCTCATCTGAACTACCCCTATGCACCCTTTGGAATCACCACCTCCCGGAAGTCACCCCTGCTTCCCCCAGGACTGTGGAAGGTTGGTTTAGATGCTCCTCCTTGATGCTCTTCTAACACCTTGTGCAGATAAATTCTTCCACTGGACAGAGTATTACATAAATAATTGCTCATGTTTCCATTTCCTTTCCAGACCTTGAGCTTCTGGAGGGCAAGGGCCATACCTGCTCTATCTTTTTCTCTGGAATGTCCAGCAGAGTGTTCATTCGCTAGTAGAAAGAGAGTCAGAAGGAGGAAGGGAAAGATGTTCTCCACGCAGAGAGCTGCCCTGCTCTCCTGCTCCCCCTATTTCTCTTCGCTATTGGCCACAGAGACCCTGTCCTCTGCCATTCCGCCTCCTCACCCTGGCCTCAGTGGGCCCCAACTTCTGGTAGAAGCCTGTGCCCTTACTAAAAGATGTGCTTCCTGGAGAAGACTCTGAGGACAAAGTCTGACACCTGGCGGGCCTCCGACGTGCAGGGCACGATGAGATACGTCCCCGGCTCCAGCCACAGCTCCTGACTCACTTCCTTCTCTGTGAGGAAGGCCTTGGGTAAACTCAGGGGATCATTTTTTAAGAAGAACTCACGGGGCAGTCTCCTCTGGTCATCATAGAACTGTGGGTGGAAGACAGAGGGGCACCAGTTAAGGTGATTACCCAGGGCTTACGGCCTGGCCTGAGGACTAAGGTGGCCTCTTATTTGCCAAATCCAACCTGACCAGTGGAGGATGGAATAAAGGGGTGGGGAATGGAGACAGAAAAATAGAACATGCCAGGATTGGGCACCTTTGCTGGAACCCTGTGTGGGCTGAATAAACACATGTCAACTGACTAGCCATTACATTGAAAACATCACGTACAAAATGATGTGAGGGATGTCATTGTGCCTGCCCTTTCTAAGTTAGGTCATCTGCCCAAAGTCACCCAATTGGTAAGAGTTCCATTCAGGATTGGAATTCAGGGCAACCGAGCTCCAATGTCCATGTTCTTTACACTTCCTGAGGCTGCCTTCATGTATGTGATACACTTTCAAGATTGATTATGACATAGTTATGGTCACAAATACAGATGGGCCACCAATCATCTCCCCACTTACGTCATAACAGCTACGAATGGATAAACTGAACATTCCACGTCATCTCAGTAAACACAGC